TTTAAACAAGGTTTCTTTTCTCTGACAGAGTTTTCTTTTTTAAAAAGTTTTAAGACTTCTGGATTTCCGAGAACCAGTGACAGCTCGATATGTGAAATGTCCTTCTTTTGACTTGACACACGTATCTATGAACGCGTCGTTCGTAATGTTCACTGGAAGCCAAACACAAGAATCCACCCAACCATGAGTGCTCAAAGCCACACACACTGTAAACCGTGCAGTATTGAGTTGTTTCTAGAGACAATATGGTGGAGGGTTGGGTGTGCCCAATAGAGCATTTGTGGGGTTAACGTATCCGGAAAGGGTGACTATTATGGGCTTTGTCAAGGAACCAAATGGCATCGAGAAAATGTTCACGCTTTTCAAGACGACCAAGGAATCATGAACACATTGATATCCTCTAAGCCACGTCAGCTTCACGAACAGGAAAATGGTGCAGTCGTAGATAAAGATCTACCTTGAGAATGCAGACCGTTGAGATGTAGGAAAGTCCTAGCTGCAGACATCGTATACGGACAGCAGACGTCTTCTGGGACTCATCTACTGAATAAAAATTATTGTGCACCGTGGTGACGTTTAAAAGGGTGCGAATGGTGTATGTTTGACCAGAAGTGGTCGTTTTGTCTAAAAATTGTAAATTCTGATTTTCTATAGGATCATAACTGATGAAACATCTCCACCCTAGACATCAAAACATTATTTCCGTACCTTGAGTGAAACTTACGAAATGTGTTGGTGGCGAGGTAATGTTCAAGACAAAAAGCTCTTTATGAATCTTAACCATGATCTCAGCAGGCATAGGAAACTTAAGAAAAACTATCTGCAAACGTCTTTTGGCCTGTTAGACTGCTGCTGTGACTTACAATATATCACAACTGTTGGGACTTTAAGTGGTAGGCCTACATTGTATATGTAGTGCGTCATTTTACAAAAATGGGAGCATAGTTGAAAATGGGTTGGGGGGGTTTTTTACAAGCTGTGTAGGGCAAAACTTTTCCGTGAATTTGTCTAAAATGAATATCCGCCAAATTTCTT